TGGCGTAGTACGTGATTCGGTGATTTTCTTCGCAACGTAGACGGTCTGACGGGGGTGATCCATTGAAATTTTGAGGATCAAAGCCAACCTGATGTTCTTGAAACCTGGAAAGTGTGATGGCAGAGAGATTGGGTTGGAGCATTACATTCAATGCAGATAGCGCGGAACCAAGGTAGATATTGACGAATCGCCCTGCGAGCGCCGACTCCCAAGTGACGAGTCGCCTCCCAATCGTAAATCTCGGGAAAGGGTTTGATTCATACTGAGGCTCTGAGTACTGATTCAGCGACTTGGCAGTGTAATTCCATCGGACTGTAAAGCTTGACAAAGGACTTGCTGCAAAGAAGATGGAAGGAGCCTCAGGGAGGTCACAAAAGGAGGGAGAAGCGGAGGGTGGCAGTGCCCTTGCTTGGCCGAGGCATGTAAAAAAGCTAGAACAAGCATCATCAAATAATGTGCTGGTTTTTCAACCACGACGAAGCAATGTCTGTCCTGCCTTCAAGCTCACCTGTATTGTCCAACCAGAATAAGGAGAATGTGCTTTGAACATTTCAGGCAACTTGGACATCCAGAACCTCTCAAACTCAAATTGAACTTCGAAAAACTTTGATGTACCCTCCCATGTCCAATACACATAGCTGGTCCTCCGAGACAGAACGTATGCTATGCAATATATCTCAAGTACTCCGACAAACTATCTCCAGAATCAAGAGGTCTTTGTATCAGTCAATCCCTGCTCGATATCCCCTCTCATGGCAACTCGAAATTCCAGCACAGATGTCGTCTCTGCTCCTGCCCCAGCGTTTGGTGCTTGTATTTCAGTGCTACCGCCATTCTTGATGGGAATATCCTTGTCAAGACCGTCCGTGCTTACGCCCAACCCAACACGGACGATAATTAACGTGGGTGCGATAGCCTGCATTGGTGTGAGCATGCGAATTTTGATATGTTGGTCTGAAGCGGCGTACGACGATGTGGTTAGTTACCGCACCACATATCCGTAGTGATACATCCGGTGCTTCTGAAAGCCAGAAGGCCAGCAGGATGATCAGCGAGACAGGATATATCATCCCGCTTTCAATGCTGGATTGTCGGAATGTCACGGGAGACGTTTGTAATAACTGAATCGGGGACACACATGATGGCAATCAAATTGGAATATCTCTTGTGGGACTTTCCGCCGAGAAGGAGGGTTACCCGTCTTGAAATCCACCAAATTCGTCCAGCTGGAGGGGGAGGACATAAAACCAGTGAAACTGGGGCAATAGGTGACCTCACCTGTGAGTCCCGCACCAAAAACATTGGTGAGAAATGTCGCGATCACTGCAACACCTAACCGAGCAGGTTGAGACGAGCCAGAGAGTGGGAGGAGGCCAACGAAGATGGTAACTGATATCATTAATAAATTGCAGCGTAGCGGAAAGACGAGGAACTCACTGAGAGCCACGGCATAGGTGAGGAGGGGCAATGCGGCAACCCTCCAACTAAACGCACAAATAACGTAGCATCGATAAATCTAATGAATATATCATTGCTTCGTGTCGGAATATAACGCGATGGAATGTACAATGATACTATCCGCGATGATGCTACGCGAGAATTTTCAATTCCTCAGTGGCTAAAAGGGATGCGACGCACTTGGCAAGGGCGAACCGAATCCTGATGAGCTCCGCGATTCGATGAACAGAGACAGGGTCTTCGGGACTAAACAGCGCCCCATGGCGATTATTATCAAACGAGAACACTCTGTAGATGGCGGCATGTCCACCCTCAGTAATGAATGCCCATGCGTAGGCCAGCGCGATGTGGATGGTCGAGAGGAGGAAGAGGATAATCATTTTTGTAGTGAGGTCTTCTCCGGGTGCAAAGGATGTAGACGGAGAGGAAGAAAAGCACCGAATAAACACCTATGTATATTCGGTGAAAACGGACTGAGGTACAGAGGCAAAAAAAACTCACCGTATATGGTTGAATCTATCTGTGGAATATGTCTTTCTATAAGTCTGAGGCAGTGGTAACTGAAATATTAATATTGAACTCTTACCACCAATGGAAAGAATGAGGAGAAATTACTGGAAGGCGGCTGAAGAGCTATCGGAATTAGGCTGGAGGGAACTCGACGGCAGCTCTCACCATGGTGGGGGGATCAGGTAGTACAACAGCACCCTGTACACCCCGTTTTCTCTTTTGAGGCACTATTTTTCAGCCCCATGACAACTAATGAACATCTGTTCTACTCGGGGGTGGGGGATACATCTAAACTTGGAGAACATCTGGCATGAGAGATGATCAAAAGCGATGGTCGTAATATGCACTCATGGCTGTATGCCGTGAATTTTGCATATAGGCTCGCGTTGAAAGAGGTCAGAGTCGGTGCGGCGGTATGTCTGCTAAGGTTTTATAATGGAGTCTGTGTAGAAAAGTAGCACTAGTGTTTTCGTGCGTCATCTACTTTCAGGCAGAGCTTTTTTATAGTTATTCATCTTGGAGCGGCAAAAAATCATGATACTGACCGGGATTGATATCCAACCGATCAACATCAAGGCTATAGAGAGTCTTTTCCTGTAACGACTATCCTCATCGAAGCAGACCTTCTGAATAGGTACCAGCAAATTCCAACAGAGATGAGATTGGGATTTGGACTAGGTGCTGATTTGACGGAGATTTCAATGTTGGGGAGTTAATAAATCACAGGAAGGCCAGCACATCAAGTCACTGACCATCGGGGGTGACAAAATCTAAGACTATTGTTTCGCCCATCGAACCCGCCGCACCGCGTCATCCGCCGACTTGAGAATCTTGGGGTGTAACTCGGAGACTGCGGCGAAGCGAGGAGCCGGTGTTGTCTGTATGTTGAAGTTCAAAAGAGAATTGAATAGAGAACTCCTGCAAGGAAGCCAGCAGTACGGGCGCGGTCAGGCGCGGTCCCATGACGGTACAGCCAAGCGATGTCGGATGGGATCATGACGGTAAGCTTGAAGAGCAGACTTAGTGGCAGTGCCAGTTGATTGCCGTCGGCATCTACAAAAGCTGGAGCAAACACTGCCCTCACTTTTTTTCTTGTCCTCTCCCACCACGCCATTCTCCCAATCTCAAGTCCCTCTGGTTTCCGGTACGTTCTTCATTTATCTTCCCTCGTCGTCCACATTCCATCCCTGCCTCCGTTCCCCATCTCGTTCCCCCATTCTTTCCTTCTCGTTCTCATCCTTTCCAATGTCGCCGTCTAAATGCTCGTGAATCCAGGTGTATGTATACCCGCTCAAGATTACGCATGCCTCGCCGGCTCCCCGATTCCAGCATTCGCCGCTGAGCTCCTGTCCTTCGTCGCCGAATCTCTCAGGTGTGTATCCACATACCTTGCTTCGTCACCGCATCCTTCTTCCATGATGACACAAACATATGTCAAACTAGTAACGAGTGCTTCCGATAAACGGGGTGCGATGTGTACATTTATAATCCTAGTTATACTGAGCCTTCCTTCCTTCATCCTTCGTCATCCTCTTTTTCGACTCAGTGCTGATCACAATTCTTTTGCAGGGACGTACTCGTTGTAGACTCGAGTAGGATGTTATGGTCCATGGGTGGTGTGTGGTTGGTGAGTCTTCCCTCCTTGTCTTATCCTTGTAGTGTGCTCGCGTATGTTACTCCTCACCCACCCTCTCCATGATTGCATAAATACTCGCTTTCAAACGAGTGCTACCGCTCAACGGGGCGCGAGGTGTACACATATATTTATATCTTTCTTCGTCTATACGATGCGCTCTCTTGTTCCCTGTTCCCTCGAGTTGAAACTGATGACAATTATTCTCCAGAGAGACGCGATTGCACCACGGTCCATGGACCCCTGCAGACGGTACGGCTCTTCCCTTGCCTGCCTTCCCGTGTCCTATCGCTCCTCTCCCCCTCTCATCCCTTCCATGATGACACAAATACATGTCAAACTAGTAATGAGTGCCACCGTTAAACGGGGCGCAATGCGTACATTTATAATCCTAGTTATACTGAGCTCTTCCCTATCCCTCCCTCATCGTTCTGCGTGACGACTGACTGATCGCAATTATCTTTCAGGGCGTATCCAACAGCAACTGGGTCCACGAGTCGTGCCCTACTTGATGGTGAGTCTCTTTCCCTCCCCTTATCACCCACCGTCCATGATGCTCGTATCATCCACCCATAAAATACAAGTGTCCCCGAATTCGTTTGGGGATGCAAGGCGTATACCAGATACCTGATCCCTTTCTCATCCCTCTCCTCCCGTCGTTGCAATCAAGATACTGACCCGTATCTTAGATATGCAGGTATGTCTGGCCATTATTTGTTCAGTAGATGTACACCATGCGGGGAGGCGGCGTACGTGGCTGGCGGGAACAGCGGCGGCATTGCTAAAGTTTGTCATCACAGCTCGTGCGTGCTGGCTGTGGGTGCGAACCCACGACGCCGTTAGTTCTCGTCGTGTTCCTCTACGCTATGTACCTACCTGGAAATACCTGGAAATGTTACATGTCTGAAGTACTAAGCAGTAGTGTCCGGATGCTGCTTTGAATGGAATTTTGAACCGCAATATGCATTGTTGTAGCGTGAACCTCACCGCGCCTCTCACACCGCCAATGCACGAATATGTTTCCAAAAAATGGAAGGAATTTCATCCACGGGGGATGGCTCGGACCTGAGTCGAACAGGCTTGTTCTGTTTGTAGGTTATAACTGAAATTGTAATGGGAAACAGCTGCGCTCCGAGCGCCACCGCGCCGTTTGCTTCATTCGGTGTGTGGGTTTTGTGGGCCGTTTTATTTCGTTATTCTGAACACAGAGAACAGCTTGGACGAATAAACAATCGGACCGGCCAGGTCCGGAAGCTACAGTCACAGATTCTCCGCCGCTGCTCTCACCCCGAGAAACCAAGAAAATCTCGAGCCCTCCGTCCCAGGAACCTCCGGGCTTTCTGATCTAACTAAAGGACCCCCTTTTCTTTTTTAAAAAAGCCTTTGAAAGATCACCCCATGGCTCGGGCCTGAGTCGAACAGGCTTCTTCTGCCTATATGTAACGTATACGGTACAGAGTCGTTTTGTAATAGGAGGCAGACGCAGTCCAAGCGCCACCGAGCCTTTCACTCCAATTTGGTGAGTGGGTTGTACTCACCAATTTTTAATTGGAATTTCGAACTCAGGGAACAGCTTGAATGAATACAGAGCTTGCGCACCAGCCACGCTGTGGCTTATGGCTTCTTTGAATGGTAATTTTCGATATACCCACCACATCTCACCTCCGCCGTTGAGGTGTCAAAATAATGTGACTCGAGGTCTCTATGGGACCATATAAAATACTGGGTTGATTTGGCTCCTCTGGCCGAAATCAAAAGCCACACAGTGGCTCATATACTTCGTATACTTAATGAGATGTCGGGCTTGTGTTTACTGTTCGTCAATTTTGATTCACTCAAAATTCAGCCAAGAATAAGCCAAGGACATACCAAACATCCCTCTTTGGCATTTTATTCTCGCCAACAGCTAAAATTTGTCTTGGCTTCTATTTTGGGCAGTCATAGCCTTCGAGGCCAGTCAAAAGCTGTTACAGCTGTTTCCGAAAAGATTGAGACGACAATTTTTTTTCGCGTTCGCAATTTTTGATCAATTTTTGATGGAATGCTAAGGATTACCGGTTTTGGTCTTGCCAAGCCCAAACCAATCCCACTCAAATATTGTACCGAATATCTGGACCTGCACGAATTTTGTCCTAAGGCTTTGCAGTTTGCCTTCTATGTCGCGTACAGAATGCCTGGAACAAAAACCACACCAATTTATGCCTTGCACAAAAACAATGTAACCAAGTGGGATGACGGCCAAGACTGGCCGATCCCAAAACGGTGGGTGATCCGAGCCAAAAGCAGTAATCCTTAGCATTCCGGCAAAAAATATGCAATGAGAAAAAAAACTGTTGTCTCAATCTTTTCGGAAACAGCTGTAAAATGCGCAGCAGTTATTCGCAACGAAGGCAGCAGAGCTGTAATATTTTGCTGCGCCAAAGCTACTCCGCAGGTGGGCAAGATCAATGCTAGCCTCGCAGTCTTCTTGCAAAGATAAAAGTTCACTAATTTTGGGTAAATTTCGGTGGAAGTTGCCTATGTACCGGAGCGTAGCGGAGGCATTTCTTGTGGCTTTGCGCAAACTCTCTAAGCATTGAACCGGCCTGGTCCGGAAGCCACAGTCACAGACTTTCTCCCATATAACTGCCCTCGCTGCTGCTCTCCTCTAGGGATCCACAGAGAAAGAATATATGTATCCCTCCATCCCCGCAACCTCTGGACCCTACTGATACATCAACCAATCACTAAAAAAGTGTTGAGAACCAACCACCCCATGGCTCGGGCCTGCGTCGAACAGGCTTTTCTGCTTGTATGGATTATTCCTTCTTGAAAATAGGAAGCAGACGCGCTCCGAGTGCCACCGAGCCTTTCACTTCGATCTACGTGAGTTTTACTCACCCGTTTCGAATCTGTATTCTTGATACATGAATAAATGATGGGACAGGAATTAGAATTGCAAGATTTGCGGCGCCTGCCTTTTCAAGTTGCTGTGTGTAATCCGGTCAGGGCAACTCTGCCTCAAATTATCCTCACCTTCACGAAGAGAAATCAATTCCTCGATAGAAATCAGTGACCAAAAGGCCCATAAAGACGACCAACACTCTCCAATACATTTCGCACCTATCGTACGCTGCTACTTACCTTCCACCGGCGCCACTTTACGAATGACTAACTATATATATAAAAAGCGCAAGAGTCACGACAAATTGCTCGGGCCTGATTCGAACAGGCTTCTTCTGTCTATAGGCCAGGGAGCATTTCACAAGAAGCAGACACACTCTCAGTGCCACGGAGCCTTTCAATTCAGTTCGGTGTGTGTTTCATTCACCCGTTGAATCGTTATCCTAAACACAGGGAGCAGCAAATGAAAGATCGGACTGCAAGTTGGAATCGCAGAATTTCTCACGTCCCGTGCCTTCAGCACTACTGTACTCAACTATGGCTCCGGAGAGGAAGTAACCTCCTGTCGCTGATAACATGCCAACGTATCACAAAAAAAACCTTTATGCACACAGCTCTGGCTCGGGCCTGAGTCGAACAGGCTTCTTCTGCTTACATCCTATGAACCCTTCCTACTTTGAAATAGGAAGCAGATGTACTCCAAGTACTACCGGGCCTTTCACTTCAACTTGAGGCGTAGATTTTGTCGGCCGTTTCGGATCATTCTGGCCACACGGAATAGCGATTCAGAATGAACGATCAGATGGGAAGGGTGAAGTCGTAGCCGTCTCTACTCTGCCTCTGGCTCGTGCTTTTACTGATATGAACTGTTGCAATCCGATTCAGTCTGACTTGGATTTGACGTCCACAATGGTTGCATTTTCGCTGTTGCAGTTGCAATGACTCGCGGATGACCAAAAGATGGCCAGGAACCTGGAAAACAGAGAAAACAAAAGCCAACATCGTTTTCCTTCGATGGCAAGCAGTAAATTCTGCGGCCTATTCCTAATGTGCGAATAGATATCTTAGCCTAAAAAGACATCGAGAACAGAGCATGGCTGAGGCCTGAGTCGAACAGGCTTCTTCTGCTTATAGCTTATAGATGAAGAATTCGTAGGGAACAGACGCACTTCAAGAGCCACCCAGGCCTTCCACTCCGACTCGGTGATTGAACTGTTCAGAAGTTGCGATTTGAATCTGCACTAAACGCAAAATGCCTTATCGGGACGTCAGCGTTGAGTCTCTGCGAGAGTCAAGAACTTGCTTTCCCTTTCGTCTCGGACAAACGCGAAACCATGTTTTCAACGAGAACCTTTTGACCAACAGTTCAAAAAACAACGTGGGTGAGATGATGTGGAGATTCCTATCAGACATTTCATCAACAACCGGGCCGGGGGCAGTGCTGGCGCCTTCTGACATGTACTTCGATGACCTTAACCGCGACGTCCTCACTGAGATACTCGCCTCAGCTGATGTCTACACGGTTATTTCCTTCACTCGAGTGCGTATCCTATCGAACTGGTGCACGAATACAAATACGTTGGTATCTGGTTTACCTCCATAGCACGTCAAATCTTCGCAAAACATTACTCCGAAAAGGCGTCCAAAGCACGAGGGATTTCCTACGCCACTTTCTCTGTTGAATCATTTGTGGGAGCATTGCCTCCGCGCGAGGCGCTCATGCTTTACAAGGCCCGTGTGGATCCACATCTGATATCGGGGTGCGAGGTCGTATTGGACGTAGACCGGGCGCAATGTGCAAGCCTTGAGAAGCCGCAACATCATTTCTTGCGTCGCTTGCTCGGGCTTAAGCGCCGGTCTATGCTCGCTGTGCTCTTCACGGAAACTGGAATCATGCCGATCCGGTACCGACGCGCTATACTGGCCCTGGGCTACGCCAAGGGTTTTGTGGGAATACCCGACGACGTGGAGGATCTTCCGAGAGCAGGTTACCGTGAGTCCCTGCGACTGGCGGGGCTGGGCTACATGTCTTGGGCAACAGACCTTCACCACGTTCTGGCGTCGCTTCCTGTCCCGGTCAATCTCGACTCGCCGAAGCTGTTGACAGCGGAAGGCATCGATGGGCTCATCGAGATCGTGGGAACCGCGTGCGAAAATGCTCTCCGGCGGGAGATTGACACGCTGGTAAAGACTCACTTCTTGAAGAACCGTGTCGAATTCGAGAACCGGGGTACTTCGACTCCCCTTCGGTTTCATCATTACCTCCGTCTCGTTAGTGCTCCCCACCGGATCGCGTACACTCGCTTCCTGTTGTCGGACCATAACTTGGCGGTGGAGGGACTGCGCCATGGTAATCGTGTTTGGCGGTTTGTCGAACGAGAGTTCCGACTGTGCCGGTTTTGCTGCCGGGCAGTTGAGGATGAATGCCATGCGCTGTTGGTGTGCACAGGTCATCCTTCCCTTACTGGAATGCGGGCTGATTTCCTCCGCGATGTGTTTGCTATGCGTCCAGAGTTCTTGATGCATGTACAAACCGTCGCGCCGTACGATTTCCTTGTGGGTCTGCTACACTGCCCAGACGTTACAAAACGTTTGGCACATTTTGTGTACGATATACTCATGGTCTTCGAGCAGAAGGAGATGCGCATACCGCCTACTCATATCCGAAGGGAGAATGCTTAATAGACTTACTGTACTCTGCCAGTTTCAATAACATCGTGTTCTTACGACAATTACCGCGAGACGGCCTGGCAATTGGCTGCACGCTTTGCACGACAATGGGTTATGTGATGAAAGGGTGAACTCTTTCGTGACTCCTGGTTGATGACGACGAGGTTTCTGTTGAAGTGCCGCTTATAGGTATTCCCTGTAGGCCAGAAGTGTGTAGTTACTTGGGTGGGCCTGTTCAAACCGGTGGCGACGTTTGAGCATCCGTAGCGTACATGTAGACGTCACATGTATGTAGTGCGGCTACCTGCTGTTTCAATTTGGGACCGCGCAGGCAATCCTCCTCCTCCTCCTCCTCCTTCTCCTGCAATGCGCCGCTTCAGATGTCAGAGACATCGTAGGTGAACAAGCATCTTCGGGGAATCGCGTTAGGAAAACAGCTATGGATATCCCTCGTTGGTGACCTACATCTACGCGGAATGCTCGACGTGCTCCCTGGCGAGAATTTTGAAACCTACAGCACAAGAGACCTGATCGAGGAGGTCAAGCGTATCGTAGTTGGTCCGAAGACCTGGATGCCAGCTTCGCGCGGACCACCACAAGTAAGCCGGAAGCTGGACATTCCTTTCGAGGGTGTCAATAAGATACCCTCCGATGTTCCCGTTTCGGTACGAATACTTCCTGGAGGACGATACATCGCCATAAATCAAGGGGCTTCCCTCAAATTTATTGACGCCATCAGTCGAAGCGTGGTGTGGGAATACGACTCCTCCCCTTCCGCGGTGCTCCTTTGGTGGTCCATTGATGTGTATGTCGGAGGAAACGAAGCGTCGGTTATTTTATCAATCCCAGACTATCATCCCCAGTCAGTGCTTCCAACTTCTCACTTCTCTGGCTGACCCACACACCACAGTCTGGGGCAATGATATATTAACATTGGGCAGGGCCCCAACA